CTAACAAATACAAGATCCATAGTTTTGCTAGAAGTAACAAAAAAGTGCTTTACAAAAATTCTTATTAACAAATTAAGAAATATCTATAAGATAAACAATATTCTTAAAGGTTTCAACTATGCAAAACTTCCTGGCAAAAGTATAGCTGAACCTATCCAGATTATGAATAATATCTGTGAAGATATATGGAAAAGTAAAAAGAAACTTTGGATACTTTTTAGGATATAACTAAATTATATGATACTATTAGTCTGGATATATTAAAAAAGGTAATAGAAAGAATTAAAATTTCAGCCAGCTTCATTAATATAGTAATAAACCTGTTACAAAATAGAGAGTTTAGAGTTATTTATAAAAACAACTTAACAACTTCAATAATAGTAGAAGATGAAATTGATCAAGGGAAACTATCTTCTCTCTAATGTAAAGAATATTCTATAGTCTTCTTCTATGTAAGATTCAGAACAATTAAGAATAGGAATACAAGATGATAGTTTCCTGAAATCCAGATCTAACAAGAAATAATATAAGTAAACTAGAGTCTCAACATATAGTTATTGCTTTTAGGATAATATTATGTGGATTGCTAGATCCAAAAAAGACATGAAAAAAATTCTGAAAGAAGTAAGAATTTTTTATAAAGCAAATAACTCATAAATCCATAGTAACAAATCAATGCTAGTTACTATTAATAATCCCAATTAATATCTGATAGAAGTTCAAGTAGGTATTAACAAAGAAATAATTAAAGAACTAGATAGAACTGAAAAGCAAAGTTTCTAGAAATCTGAACAGGCAATCAAAAGACTACAGCTAAACTCAAGAAAAGAATGTTAAAAGAAATAAATATAGTTACCAAAGCTCTAAAAAATAAAAAGATGACGGACAAACAAATACTCTATATATTGAACAAAGTTCTAATATCAATAATTGAGTTCTGAATACAACAAAGTATCTGGATCTTGCAAAGAGAAAGTCAAATAACAGGATTATACAATAGATTTAATGATCAAGGACCAGCAGGTTTTTAGACTCAAACAAGTACAAATCAGATACTGAAAATCTAATAATTTACTTACCTGTGATTCCTTATATCACCTATCAGATAAAGACAACTTTATACTTCTAGTATTGAAGTTAGCTAGAAATATGGGTATAACTTTTCAAAGCTAAAAATAGTATAACATATTTGAATGAAGTAAGGAAAATAGTTCAATCAATATATACCTTACATTTGATGAATACAAAAAAGCTATACCTTCACTGAGAAATAATAGTTTAATGTATATAGATCAACTGATCAATATAGATACTAAAGAAACATAAAACTGGTGAATATTATAGTTCATATATAATATGGATAAGGGACCAATTTCAAAATGATATCTATCAATAGTCATGATTATATAAGAAGAAAAAATAGAACAACTTACTAGACCTTAAAAGGTGAATTACATTAAATAGAAACCCAAATATTTCATAGTAAAATATGATCATGACAAATGACAGAAGCTAGGGATTATTATAAAAAACAAAAAAGATTAAGTTATCTAGGAAAAGTTAATGAGAAAAAGTATAATAGATAATATAGAAATAGAATATTTCAACTGTTTAGTAGCTGAAAAATATCAACAAGTAATATGTTTAATAAAATGTTTTGGATACATAGAAGGTATTAAAAAAAATAACTATTGTATAATAATAGAAAATAAGAATAAAATATATATAGTTCCATATCTCAATACTAGAAAATTCATCAAAAGAGTCCAGATATTAAAAATTCCAAGAAGCAAGACAACTATGAAAAAAGAAATACTTAAAGTGGTAGCAGAGGATCAAGGACAAATTCAAGTAGCCAAAGTAGTAAATATAGAGATAGAAAGTTAAGAAAAAAAATTATTAGAAACAATGTAAAAAAAAGTGCATATCAGTTTCGCTTGCTAGAAATATTTCAATGAAATCAGAAGTCAAATAAAGTAATAACCTTCTATTCTAATAAATCACTAGCTAATTATGGAAGTAAAGAAATAAAAATGGAAGCAATATGAATTCAATTAGAAGAAACAGAAAAAGAAAACAAATTTCAGACAGGATAGGAAACTGGTCATTATCAACAAGAATAGAAGTGACAACAATAGTTACTATACTACTAGTTGTTCCTATTGAATATAAAGTCAAAATCTATGTAAACAGTCAAGCCTGTATCTCCAAATAAAAGGAATCAAAGGAAAAAGATTCCAAAAAGACACATAAAAGGTGGTTGAAAGAGAAAAACTAGTTTCTATAGATATGAATACTAAATCTTATAAAAAAAAAATACATGAATCAGAAACTGATCAAGGTTAAAATCCACTCCAGTAATAAATACAATAAAGAAGCAAATGCCATGATTAAAAAATCACTTTAACTTCCTATAATAAAATAGAAGAATCTCACATTATCTAAAATCATTATAGAAACTAAATAGCAAAATATAATATTGAATACCTCAATAAAACAATTTATCAAAAAAGTAAATGGTAAGATAATAGCTTATCAATGAATACAATAAAATAAAATCAAAAAAAAAATAGAATTAGCAAATACAATATCAGTATAAATATATGTGCAACCTTATGTAGAATAAAATGAGAATGAGCATATATGATACATTTTCTTCAAAAACTCTTACAAAAAAAGCTTTCTTGTGAAATCAGCAAATAATAAGTTACCAACTTTGACAAAATTAGCTATAAGAAGATCAGATGTTTACAAACAAGTGTTATATAGTATATAGAGTGTAACAAAGATATAGAAATGGTAAACCACTTATTAAAATATCCAGTATATGAAAAGCAATTGCAAGAAGTATATATTAAAGGATTAGGAGAGATACAAAGGAATGTAAAAAACTTTTTCAAGAAAGAAAAGAGAAAATAAAAGAAAAAGATATACAGCTAATTACAAATAATAGAGAGGAAAGAAAAAAACTAAATAAGCTAATCTCCAAATGTATAGATTAAATCTTCAAAAGTAATTATAAGATGCTAAGCTTTTGTACAGGACTCATGAAAAGTGACTGGCTTATTGCAATAGTGATCTCAAATGTTGTGATAAAAGAATAGGACAAAAAGCTTGTAGATAGATTACAAAAATATAGAAGAAAGTTTGTAATCATATCTAATATGAGATCTAAAACAAAAAATATATAAGAGCAATTGAATAAGAATGGTTACAGGGTATCAACAAAAAGAATAAAGTAAAAAAATCAAGCCTGAAAGTTCAAAAAATCAAGATCAAAATCAAGAAACTATCAATTCCTGAAGAAGAAAGATTGAATGACAAAAATTTGAAGTAGACATTGATAAAAGGAATTGAATATAAAATAATTTAGTTGGGTTTTGATCTCTATCAGAGCTTTACAAAGTAATATGCAGTAGTGACTTACAGGTAATGATATTAATAGTTGGAAGGGTATTTATCTGAACTATTAGTAAAGTGATAAATCATTTCCAAAGTTGCACTTAGAATGACAATAGTTAAGACAAGTGAGTTAATTAAAGATTTAGTTTTAATGTCACATTGATATATAAAGTCTACAAAATGTTTAATAAAGCACATATAACTAATCTGATAGAGAAAAAAAAAACCAATAAATTTTAATTAGAATATGCTATATTATTTTATTTAAAATAGATAAAAATTTTATAAAATTTATAACCTGTGGATTAATAGCATAATAGTAGTGCTCCCAGGTCAAAATCACAAGGTTTACAGTTCAATATTACTTAAGGATCAAAAATTGAATTTACTCTTCTGATCAGGTTTATCAGTTATCCTGTAAAAGTTATATCCAATTATCTGGAATCAGTCTGTAATAGGTTAAGCTATATAAAGATGTGACTTCTAACCTTTCGTTGATCAGGACTAAAACTTAAGGTCACATTATCAAAAGGATTGTATGAAGTAAAGCTTCTGATCTAGTTTTTTACAAAAATACTTCAAAATCTACTCTACCCTGATAGTCTCCAGGATCTTCACTCTCTTAGCTTAAAATATCCCAATTTGATGCTCTGTTTAATTGAAAATCAGTTAATAGGGACTGATTTGATATCAAAGGTAGTGACAAAAAAGATAACATACCCCTTCTGAGATCTGAGCAAATAATATTTGGGAATATTGTAAGGTGTTCATATTTTATTGAATATATCAAGAAAGGACTAGTTAGTGAATCAGTAATAAAAAACAGTTATTCAAAAACCTTATACTAATTAGCCTAGCATCACTATTTATAATTATATATTAATTATCCAGCCACTAGTTAGATATGCCCACTTTCAAAGTAATAGTAAATCTAGTTAGGATTGTCATGATAGGTTAACATTAATCTACATGTATAGTATATAGCAATATATAATCTGTAGAGATGTTTGATGTAATGATAGTGGAATACAATTGTCAAATAAAGTCTTATATCCAATACCAGTTGCAGTTTAAATTTTTAAAAAAAAATTTTTTTTATAAAATTTATAAAGTTTATTAAAAACAATTAAAGTATTAAAGTTTATTAATACAGTTAAAAATAAGATATTTATCAGTAGTTAAATTAAAAAATCTTTTAATATACAGTATATATAATAATTTAAATCTATAATTATACAAGCCAATAGTTTTTATCTTTATGTAATTTAATTGTAATTTAAAAATAATTATTGAATATTAATAAATATTGAAAAAAGTAATTATAAAAGAATTTGCCAAAATAATTTATTACAATTAATAATTTTGAGTTAAAAGAAAATAATATATATAAAAAGAAGAAACATTTCATTAATTTTTATGCAATAATTTCTTATCCCGCAATATGCACATAAGGAAAAAAATATATTGTGCATTTCGATAGAAGTTGATAAAGAATAAAAAGACGTTATTTTGTAATAAATAAAGTCAAATTGTCTGCTCATGTAATTTTTAGAAAAAAAAAAAAAAAAAACTTTTTATAAAACAATAACAAAAAATAATCAGACTTGAAGTCCGTTTTTTAAAGATATTCCTGATAAACTACCGAGATCAACGGATCCAGTAACTATCCCATCTTGACTTTTTCTTTCCATTTGATTTGCAACCTCAACAGCAGCAGGCTTGACCCATTCCGGTGGATCAGCAACACACCTAGTCACTGGATCTACCCAACCTTCATATCTTTCAAACACCGTATAATCAAACGGTTTAAATTTCTCTTCAATCAGTTGATACTGTGCTTCTTTTTCAGAACCCTCCCCATCTTTACGTTTCCTTGGTTTCCGTCGGCGTGATTTTGCCTCCAACGGTTGTTCTTCCAAAAGCAATTCTTCTAAATCATACGTAGCATCGAAATTGATTCTGTCTGATGAGGGACGAAAAATTGGGTTTAATTCCTTGTTTTCAAGAGCAGGCCAATCAAAATTACGGAAAAAAGGATGTTTTTGAATAAGCTCAAACCCATTTGGACCGCAGCCTAAACGCCTAGAAATATCACGCTCGAGAAACTAAAAGGAAAATAAAAATTAACGCTAATTAAGTGCAACATTAATTAAGGTTCGCAATATTACTTACTTCCTGAATTGCGGAAACACAAGCAGGGCTTACAGGCGGGTCCATATCGAGATATTTGATGGGCGCTTTGAGTATCATCTTTTTTAATTCTTCTTGATTGTCGCTCTCAAAAGGACGCTAAAAGTATTAATTTAATTGTTAGATAGATAGCGACGTATGTAGAGTACAAATGATACAATATTATAGCTTTATTTACCCTCCCATATATACATTCGTAAAATAAAACACCTAGAGACCACCAATCGACAGTAACCCCATATCCGCCACCCCTGAATACTTCGGGAGCTATTTATTATAATGAGACAATTATTGGGATATAACGATTACATAGCATTGTATCAAAAATTTGTTTATCCAACCCACCCATATATGCACATGTTCCAGAGTGAGATGTTAACGGTTTATCAGCCCTTATATGTCTTGCAATATTAAAATCTGTTATATGTACATGACCTAGATCATCAAGAAGAACATTGTCTGGTTTAATGTCTCTGCAGATAAAGATTGTAATTAATTAGTCGCAGATAATGTATAAAATAAAGAATGTCTTTCAACCAAGTACCTATGAACTACTCCTTTAGAATGTAAATATCTTATAGCGCACGCTAATTCGGCTATCCAAAAACGGATCGCATCTTCTGTAAAAGTTTTACGATTCAGATGGAATCTCAGATCCCCACCCATCCTAATAAAAAAAAATAATTACATGTGAAGAAATAAGAATACCAAGCAACATAACCAACTAAATTATAACGTACATTAAGTCCATAACCATGTACATATATTCATCATCCTGGAACGCAAAACGAAGATTGCATACCAATGGGTGATCCAATTCTTCCAGCATAGATCTTTCCCGAAATACATTAATAAGTGCATCCATTCGAATACACTCTTCTTTCGAAATATATTTTAAAGCAAATAGCTTTTTGTTATCTTTTCGTTCGACAATTCTAACCTATGATAACGTTATAGAATAAAAGGAATGATAAGAATAAAGAATAAAAAGGCGTTAGATGATCAAGGAAAATAATCATGTAAACCTTCCCAAATGCCCCGCGCCCAACAACGCGTAATAATTTGAAATGATTGAGATTAACTACATATTTCGAAAAAGGGAAGTTAGTATACGCTCTTGAATGGAATATGAAACTTTTAGTGTATGTAACCTTCTTCATTGAAATCGACGTCATATTTCCCATTTGCCACACCCATTCTTATTTAGAAGTGGGCACTCTCAAAATGAGCAAAGAAGATGTTTGAATGCGCAAAATAAAGAAACGAGTGTAGATTTAAATGCAACCCATACACATGTAGGACAAGTCACGGCCATCTGTTTCACCGAATTTTTAGGCGCGTTATCGTTTAGTTAACATCCAACATTTCCTATAATGGATATCGAGATTGTAATTCGAGTGTTACGCCTATTATGAGTTTGACTTTATATGGCAATGATATCAATAATAATGTTTTGATACATATTATACTTATTAAAATAAAATTTTAAAATATACAACTCACAAAATAGAAATAATTTGAAACTCAAACTATTTAAATTAATTAAATCAATTAGTTTAATAAACTTATAAAAGTTATAATAAAAAAAATTTTTTTTGTAATATTTTTGACTAAGTTAAATTATAATTTATTAATAAATTGAAAATATAAATATAATTTATTTGAACAGTATAATATATAGTATATTATAGTCAAACTATTTATTAATTTTAATAAACTCATTATAAGCCGTAATAGTTTTAAGTTTAATTTTGAAAATAATATTTTATTCTATAATAAAATTCAAATTCAAAATTTTTTAAAATACATATAATACAATACATCATTATTAATAAGTTAATATAATTATATAGTATTTTTCCACTAATCCTCTAACTACATATAAAAAAGATGTTTGCAAGAAGTTTTTTTGTTTTTTATTAAAAAGTCTTAAATACTTTTCTTAAAACTCCTTGAAGAGTAACTTCAAGAGTTACTTTTATCCTCCCTTACTTGTTTATAATCCTCTTTGATCAAAAACTTGACTTTTGATAACCAAGAATAAACCAAGTAACACCTTTTATATCAACAACAAGAAAGTTTTCAAAGGAAAAAGAACCAATAGTGAAGTACATGAAAATCTTTTTTATCTTTGAAATGAGAAGTATATGGAGATTTTTGATAACAAAAAGATTTATTTTTCCCCTTCTAGTCATATGTGGATCTCTTAGAGCTATTACTTTCATAATTTTCTGGAGAATTTTGTCTATCTCAGTTTGATCTTGAATTTTGGGTAGTACAAATCATTATCAAAAATGATTGACTAACACAAAATACATTGATTTTTGAAAAAGTAAACAAGCACCTATTGATTACAATCATATATTCCTATTACATTATGAATAATATAGAAAAAAAAGTTTTAGAAGAAGTTTTCCTCCAACTATATATATTCAACTTCAAGAAACAGTTATGACATCAAAAGGTGGAGTGGATCTGTACAAAGAAATTCTATTCCTTCTCTAGATTTCTCAAGCGATAAAAAGACTTTATGAGATAAAAGCTGAAGTTTTTTAGTTTCTCTTAAACTATTCCAATCCAATGTATGCTTAAATAAAGACTTATCTAATACTAAGATAGTGACAAAAAAGACTCCTTTTGAGATCCAAATAAAGCAAAGAAAAATATTCCAATCAAGCAAAACTCCTTTTGAAAAGAGATTGTAAAATAAAGAAAGAATCTTTTGAAAGACTTTGAATTGTTTTTTATTTTTCCTTTTTTCCATTTTCAACTTTAACAATTCATTGTTTTTCAAAATAATCAATAGTGACAAATTGTTGGCAATAATCCTAGTTGACTTAGAAATACTATACCAAGTTATTAAAAGAGCATAATATTGTTCTCTAAATCCAACTTAGAGTATTTAGTTAAGACTTAGTTTTGTTTAGTCTAAACTAACTTAATGGATATATCATATTTTTTAAGTAGTATAGTTCTTCAACTAATAATATACAAAACCGAGTTAGTCATTATATAAGAAGGTCTGTAGATTATTTTGATATTTTTTCAAGTATCTTAATAAATAAAAGCCATTTTGACATGATTGTAGGTTAAATATATATATATTATATATAATTATATAGTATATCTTATTAAATTATTGAAATATAAATTAAAAAATAATATTTAAAATATAAAATGTATAATTAAATAATAATAATAATAACAACTTTTTTACTAGACCTATGGGTCCATAGCACAGTAATAATGCTCCCAGGTCACTATATATTGTTTCTGAATTCAATATTACTATAAAGCAGTACTATCTAAGCTTGAATAGTATAGGAAAATCACATTGGTCTTATGATAATGATCATTGTAATCCTGATCAAAATTTCATTTGATCACAGGAAAACTAAAGATTACAAGATACTTCAGTTGATTTTAGTGTCAAAGTCACCTCATCACAATGATAGGTTTTATTAAGCTTCTATAGATAGGCTAAAAACTGCACAAATGCTATAAAACTAGAGAATTAATAGAGCTTAGGCACATTAGCTAGAGGAGAATCACTATTAAATTAATATCTATCCAAGACTCCACATAATTACTCCATAGGCAGGTTGTAATAAATTATGCAAAAAAAATAACCAGTGGAATAAAATGACATCTAAAATTCTATGTAAGTATTCCATATATATACTGTAATAGATACTGTAAAAAGAATATCTGACAGAATGAAATATGAAAGGAGTCCTATGTTACAAATCCAGGGTTTATAGAAATAAGGATTATGAAAGAGTAATATAAATATATGTAATAGAATAGTAGGATTTCCTCCAGCAACAAGCCACATAGATGGGTCACCTGCAAATGGATACTTGGATAATTTGGCTCATAGAAAATGGGTTCTATATATTAATTCTAGAGTATAGATAATTGCTATATATATAGATAAAATTCTCTATACATGATTGTAATCATACCTTCAATGATATTGGGCTTCATTATCCTTAATAAAAAACAAAATAACTTTTTTATTAATGATCATATAATACTCTTTTCAACAATATACAAAAAAGACACTTGTAAAAAAGCATTATACTTTTTTGCTAATAAAGTTTTATTACTTTCTTTAAAACAACTTGAAAAATAACTTTAAAAGTCCCTTTCAACTTCTCTCTCTTATTTATATCCCTTTTTAAACAAAAACTTGATTTCTGGTAATCAAGAAAAGTCAAGAAATATCTTTTTCACCTATGACAAAAAAGTTATAAAAAGAAGAAAAACCAATAACAAAGTACTAAAAACCTATCTTCTGAAGCAAAAGTGTAACTAAAAGTTTTGTGTAGTGGATGGGTTGATGAATAAAAGCCTAAACTATAAAACATTTCTATTCACTGTTTCCACCCTCTTAGGGTCACATATTTTTCAAAATTTTTAGGAAATTTTATCTATCCTAGCTTGATCTTGAATTTTAGAGTGACATAAAATCAATATAGCTTTTGTTAAAAGTAATTAATTGATATGAAACATATTGATAACAGAATAAAAACAAGTTTCTACTGATTATATCACATGTTTCAATAATATCATTGATAAAAAAAAGAGAAATAATTAATACAAACTTTTTCATTTCTTCAAATGAAGTATAACTAAAGCAAAGAAATTATGAAACGATTAAAATGAATACTAAATTTTCTAGATAATAAAAAAATGGTTATTTGTTCAAACTGAGGCCTTCAACTTCTTATCATTCTAATTAGACAAAGTATATAAAGGAGATTATTTTCTTATTCCAATTAGACTATAAGACTAAAAAATAAAGAAATGTAAAACATTGTTTTTCTCTAGGATTAAAAATATATTTTATCAGATTTTATATAATATATTGCAATTAAGATAAACATTAGTAAAATTCCTTTAACTAGGTATTGCTGTTGGAAAATATTAGCGGTCATATAACAAGATTAAAAAGTCATATAAAAATCTGAAATCCATCATTAGTCATTTTGTTCTGTGTGAGTGGATATAAAATCAAGAACAAAAGAAAGATTGTATTAAGCAAGATATTGGATTAAAGTAGATAATAAGTACTTTAAATGATCACAAGAAAATAATTAAGATTATAGATAAATAAGTTCCTCAAATGGTTAGAAAAAAGAAGAATATCTTAGAAGGATTAACTCTTAATAAAAAGAGATTTCTAGTAAAGATCTTTTGGAGGACATGGGAAACTTTTATTTTTTCTTTTTCTTTTTTATATAAGCACAATAGTGTACTTTTAGATATACCCTTTTCTTTTATTTTCTTTTTTCTCTTTTGTAGTTTCTCAAAATTAGTTCCTTAAAGAATAATAAACAGTAACAACATGTTGACAATAATGTATAAATTAAGAGGATATTCATCCAAAATCTACTATGAAATAAAATATTGTTTCCAAGATTACACTTAGAGGCTAAAGCTCTTTTAAGAATTGAAAACCATTGACAAGTATATTAATATGAGTTTTAGTTTAGCTATAATGTAATTATCCCATATATTTCTATCAGTTTTCATATTGATTAATAAATACATAGTACTGGTCTGATTATAGGTTTAAAAAAAAAATAAAAATAAAAATTTTAACTAATTTTTTAATAATATATAGAAAAGATATTTATAAAAGTTTTATACCTTTATACTAATAAAGTTTATTATTTTTCTTAAAATAACTTGAAAAATAACTTCAAGAATTACTTCAACTTCTTCTTTTTTGGTTACATTCTTTTTTAAATAAAATGTGACTTTTAATAATAAAAAATATTTTATACTTATAACAAAAAAGTTTTAAAAAGAAAAAAAATTAATAATAAAGTAATAAAAATCTATCTTCTAAACAAAAAT